CACACACACACACTCACACACTCACACACACACACTCACACACACACACACACACACACACATGGGGTGTCATGGTGTTGAAGAGTTCTGTTTTAGCCCGGTTTGATACGCCTATTCGAGATATTAAGCGGTAATCCCGAGTTCTGCAGTCAGAGGCCTAGTGCGTTTCTGCCCTGGGGCCTTTGCGCTGACTTTTCCTTCTGCCTGGGAGAGTCTCCCCGAGACAGGCACTAGCTAGCTCCCTCACTTCCTTCAGCTCTCTCCTCAGAGGTCACCTTTTGAGAGCCCCACCCTAACTTTTCTTTTGGAAAATACCCAACCCCTTGAAGGAGCCCTGGTGGCACAGTGGTTAAGTGCTCGGCTGCTAAGGGAAAGGTCTGTCTGTGGTTTGAACCCACTTAGTGACTCCGAGGAAGAAAGGCCTGGCCATCTGTTGCAGTAAAGCTTACTTCCCAGAAAGCCCTGTGGGGCAGTTCTATTCTGTCCTGTAGGGTCTACACGAGTGGGAATCAGTTTGAAGGCGCACAGCAACCACCCCTTGAGAAGGAAGTGTCCTTTGCTGTATTTTCTGCAAATGTGGTTTGAATTGGCGCTAATCTTGTTGTCCATCCCAGTGGCTTCTGTGATGGGTGCCTCGAACGGTGGCTCTGAGCTGTGCCGTGTTCAAAACCCACATAGCGATGTCAGAAGTCTCAGAGCAAGGCATCCCCACCCTTGGTCCCCTCCCCATCTGTGACTTCTCCACCACCTTCTCACACCTAGCCAGAGACACTTGGATAGGTCCCCTGGCCTGGGATACAAAGAGGCCAGAGAACGCACTGTTCTGTGCTTTGTCACTGGGGGGAACTGAAGGTTCAGATTTGGAAGGCGTAGCCCCGGAGGTTATGACGCAACCACGTAATAACTGGGGTTTTTGTGGCTTGCCTGTGGAGAAGAAAGGGGGCTTCCCTGTCAGAGACACAAAAAGGTTTTCACCTGTGATCCCTCAACTGGCCCTTGATTGAAGTCAATTTTATTTATGGACAAGCCTGCTAGTTTCCCCCATTAGCTTCACTTCTCTTCCAGGGTTGTGGAACGGAAGCTGGGCACATCAGTGTATCTAAGGCTGTACTGTCTTCTAGGGTAGCCACTAGGCACGTGTGTCTATTTAAATTAAACCTCATGAAAATAAAATAAAATTAAACCATGGAATATTGTTATTAGTTGCCGCCGAGTTGATTCCGACTCTTGGTGACCCCATGTGTGTCAGGGTAGAACTGTGCTCCGTAGCGTGTGTAATGGCTGATTTTCCGGAGGCAGTTTGCCAGGCCTTTCTTCCGAGGTACCTCTGGGTAGACCCGAACCTCCAACCTTTCCGTTAGCAGCCGAGCGAGTGTGTTCACCATTTGTGCTATGAGTCGGCATTGACTTGACGGCAACGGGTTTGGTTTTTGGTTTCAGGGCTCCTTCAGTACTTTAACCGGTAGGTTTTCACGCCTGGTTCTTCTTCCTTCTCTTCCCCTGGCCTCACCCCAGCTTGGCCAGCTGGGAGGAAACCTCCCTTGAGCTCATAAGGAAGGGATGACACAGCAGACAGGAAGGGAGGAAGCCAAGATTTCCTTCTCAGTGTTGGAGTTTTTAAGATTTACTTGGAAACTCCAGGCCTGGATGAAGGTTGGAGAGCAAAGGCACTTGTATTCCAAAGGCTTAAAAAAAAAACAACTCAAGGTCAGAAGCAGGCAGGATAGATCCGGCTCCGGGAGGGGGATGGGGAAACAGAGAGAATAGGTGGTGTGTGTCCCTGAGAAGGGACCCTGGGCCTGTCCCGGAGACCTAAGAATCCCCCCACCCCCAGGCTCCAGAGTTACCTGTGCTCAGTGTGGCCAGGTAGAGATCCAGAGAGAGCCCAGGTGGAGAGGAGCCCATGGAGTAACTTCTGTTCTTGGACTAGCAGGGAGGTAGTGAAGGGTCTCAGGACTTCCTGGATGGCACACATATTAAGCAGTCAAGCACTAGCCAAAAAGGTTGGCAGTTCGAACCCACCCAGAGGCGCCTCAGGAGACAGGCCTGGCTATCTGCTTCCATACAGGTGCTGCAGAAGAAAGTCCTGGCAACCTGCTTCCTTAAAGATTATAGCCAAGAAAATCCTGTAGAGGATAGTTCTACTCTGCACACATGGGGTAGCCATGAGTCGGAATCGACTTGACGGCAACTCACAACAGTGAAAGCTTCCAAGATTTCCTCTCTGCATCCTGTCCCCTCCCCAGAAATTCCCAGCGGCCCATGTAGACAAGAGACAGTAGCCAAATGTTGGCCACATTGAGAGATGGTGGACAGGCTATTCAAGGCCTGGATGCTCCCTCCACCCCCGCCCCAATCTCTCGCTCCACGTGAACCCCCTTGAACTTAGACTTGGCCGGAGATTATCTGGAATCAATTGAGGCTTGCCTTATGCCACCTGGTGGAAAAAGGCTCAAAAGAGCAATTATGTTCAGTTCGGGAAAATCAAAGGCAGTCACGTTTGGGGCACATGTGACTTGGCTGCTTTGTGGTGGCTCTGAGCACAAGGCAGTCCTTGACATAAATCAGTTGCCATGGAGTAGATTCTGACTCATGGCGACCCCACGTGTGTCAGAGTCGAACTGTGCTGCATGAGATTTTCTTTTTATAATTTGTGTTGTTGTTCTTAAGACTATACACAGCAGAAGATACACCAATTTAACAATGTCTCCATGTGCAACTCAGTGACATTAATGACATTCTTTGAATTGTGCAGCCATTCTCACCCTCCTTTCCCAAATTATTCCTCCCCCATTAACACAAGCTCATGGCCCCCTAAGTTTCCACAGGGTTTTCAGTGGCTGAGTTTTCAGTAGTAGATCACCAGGCCTTTCTTCTGAGGCACCTCTGGGTAGACTCGAACCTCCAACCTTTCAGTGAGCAGCCGACTGCTCCTCCTTTCTGTTTCTTCCTCCAGCTTGGGTAACCCTTTCCAGTCTCAGAGCCTGATCTATCCTACCTGCTTCTGACCTTTCCTAAAGCAAAAATCCCAAAGCCTTTGGAATGAAAAAGGTGTTTGCACCAGGGACTCTGCTTGCCATATAACGGCTCACTTCATCAAACATCAACCCCGATATCTCCATTTTACAGAGGAGGAAACTGAGGCATACACAGGTCAAGTGAACACCCAAGGCCAGGCAATTACTAAGTGGCTACGCTAGGAGCAAGGAGCCCTGGTGGCACCGTAGGTAAAGCTCTCGCCTGCTAACCAAAAGGTCAGCAGTTCAAAACCACCAGCCGCACTGCGGGAGAAAAGACCTGGCAATCTGCTCTTCTAAAGATTACAGCCTTGGAAACCCTATGGGGCAGCTCTACTCTGTCCTACAGGGTCACTTGGAGTTGGAATGCACTTGACGGCACCCAACAACCAGCTAGGAGCTGAGCCATCTTGCTCCGAAAAGCACTCCCATAACCCTTACACCATAACGCTGTCGTGTGCCATCGAGTTGATTCTGACTCATGGTGACCCCATGTGACAGAGCAGAACTGCCTCCATAGGGTTTCCTAGGCTGTGATCTTTATGGGGAAGGAGCCCTGGTGGCGTGGTGGTTAAGCCCTCGGCTGCTAACCCATATTCTATGGGACAGCTCTGTTCCGTCCCATAGGGTCGCTATGAGTCAGGCTCCACTCAACGGCAACGGGAATCTTTACGGGAGCAGAACGCCAGGTCTTTTCTCCCATGAAGCCGCTGGTAGGTTTGAACCACAGACCTTTCCATTAGCAGCTGAGTGCTTAAAGTGGCGCCACCAGGGCTCCTTAACTGCTGTGTAGGTGCCCAATAAATGATTGCTCAGTGGACAGTTGAATGCATGATACTTGCTTCCTTCCATCCATGCACTGTTTTTTTTTTTTAAATAATGTTACTTTGTGGTTGTTGAAAATATAAACAGCAGACATACACCAATTCAATCGTTTCTCCACGTACAATTCAGTGATACTGAGGACATTCTTCGAGTTGTGCGGCCGTCCTCACCCTCCTTTCTTGAGTATGTTCCTTCTCCATTAACATCAACTCACTGCCTCCTGAGTGTTCTCTCTTTTGAGTTGCTGTTGTCACTTTGATCCCATAGAGATAATTCTTAAAAGAGTATAATGCTCAAGGCAGACTTTTTTTTTTTTTAATCAGTGAAGCTAAACTATTCTTTGGTTTTAAGAAAACCTCAGGGGATCTTCTGGTTTAAGTTTTAAAGATTATCTCAGA